CACTAGGTAACAATTACATCATCATATAATCATTAACTCTATTGCATATGATGATTAATTACCTGCGAGATAAGTGATCTTGATGAACAACTCCACGAATGATTCTAAGATGAAGCTCTCCCTATAACACGATTGACGCACGGTTCTGCATGTACGACATCCTCAATAGACATACCTACTTCACGGCAAAATATCACAACGAATGGTTCTGCCTGCATTACTCTGGAACCTCCAATAAGCTTGCATCCTATAATCTGCAAGAAATTGCGTTGTCTGTGTTTCGAACCCCAGACTTAGCTGTAAAAACCTTTAAACCTTAACTATTAGGCTACGATGCTTCCACTATCGAATGCAGAAGTTTCATATTATATTTCCTGCAGTGAGCACTCGGTTCCTACAATTAAAGCTTTAGAAATGACTCACATATATTTATGTATCCCCTTATTATTATTATTATTATTATTATTATTATTATTATTATTATTATTATTATTATTTAAGAAGAACTTTTATAAATACATTTATTCCATATATGATTAACAATTTTACTATTTTTAGGTGTTAATATTACATACCACCCCACAACCTTTTTAAATAACCATCTTTGACCTAGATTAATTACATGTTATGCCATTAACAAATTAACCTACAAAATTATTTTATTATATATATTTATATATATATGCATGTTGAAGACATAAACCAGCCCGTAAATGTATCATCGTGATATTGGAACTAAATGACTCGAAAAAATTATATTATTTTTATCAAAACATTAGAACTTATAGATTTTAATCATTCATATAGATCCAAATGACTCGAAAACAATTATTTTATTTTTATATTCGATTAACAATTTGTATGTAAATTTTCATAGTACATATGTATTGTATTATTTTAGTAACATATAGTTTGATATAGAAGTGTATTTTTATATTAACATGGACAGCTATCTTATTTTCATATTCACGTTATTTTATATAAAAATGTATTTTATTTACATGTAAATAAAATATGCAAATAAGTGTATATCATATAAATAAGTGTATATAAAATGTTATTTTTATGATCATGTTATATATATAGAAGGGCATATAAATGTCAGCGACATATAAATAAGTGTATATTGAACTATATATTATTTTTATGATTTAGGTTATATGTAATGTTACATATATAAATAACAAATATGTGTAAATGAAAATACTGTATTATTTATTTGAGTAACATATAACAAACTATATGTATTATTTATTCGATATATAGTTTACTATAGTAAAAATAAATTGTAAGAATAAATTAGGGATTCATTTACATCGTAAATTTCCTAATAGAAGACTTACATGAAAGTCTTATGTATGTATCAAAAACATTTATACTAATTGGAATGTTTGTCTTTCTATATACATAAAATTTACACATTCTTCTTTTTTCCTTTTAAATAAAGGCAACAAAAATGTAATATTTTTCACTCTAGGACTCTCCAATATATCACTAAAGTATTTGAATTTGATAAGACCAAAACTTATATCAATTTCTCATTTTTATGTGTTTTTCTCACTAATTTATTTTGTTTTAACAGGTTTTTTTTTATTACATAGTGTCATCTTTCACTCATGTAAAACTAGATTTATAAACTTTAGATATGTATTTTTGTGTGTTCTATATGTTAGATTCTAATAAGTTGTAGATTCAACAAAATGTGATTCTTCTAGCTATTATATAAGCATAAAAACATTGTTTTGATATTTTTTTTCTTTGTTTTTATGTCATTTAAACGATTTTGGATATGCATGTTTTTTTAGATCCGTGTTAGATTTTGGAAGATTTCCAGAAGACTTCTCAGAAACTTTCCAGAAGTCTTCTAATACATTTTATGCTAGGGGGAGTCTTCTGAACCAAAAATATTTTACTTAATTAGATTTTTTCTCCTTATATAAATAAAATTTACAAATTTTCTCTCTTTCTCTCTAATAGCTGTTACAAAAATTTAATGTTTCTCACTCTAAAACTCTCCAACCTCTCTATGTTCTATTTGAACTTGAAAACACCAAATTTTATATCAAATACCTAATTTATCTTTGTTTTTTTAAGTTTCTTCACTACACGGTTATCATCTTTTACTTTTTAAAGGTAGATCCATAAATTTTGGATATGTATTTTTGTGTGTTTTATATGTTAGATTCTAAAAAATTCTAGAATTAACAAAATGTGACTGTTTTATTTATTATTTAATAAATACAAGATCATTTTTGATGTTTCTTTTCTGTTTTGATACAATATGAATGTTTTGGGATATGCAGCTTTTTCCAAATCTGAACCAGAATTTGGAAGACTTCTCAGAAGATTTCTCGGAAGACTTCAGAACCTAGAATATATAACCTAAGTGAAGTCTATGCTTATCTATGTATAGGAATGATCTCAAGCTCTATATATAATAATTTTGATTATGCTTTTTATGATTGGTATGTGTACTCTTTTAATGGTGAATTCTTTTGTAAACTTGCAAAGATGTTAATGAAAATCATTTTTTCAAATATGTTTATGTCTACAACATATATTATTTTTCCAAAAAGACTTAACATTATTGAAGTTATTGATACAACATACCAAAAAAACATTTTAATCAAGATACTAAAACTAAGGAAGAAAAAATTCTTAAGAAAACTTAATCAAATTCACAAAAAATCAAACAATACATAAGTCTCACTAGAAAAAATTCCGGAAGACTTCACTAGAAGTCTTCTTTCAAGATTATCAATAACCAAAGACTTCACAAGAAAATCTTTAGAACTTATAACTAAAAAAAGTTAAGTATTCTCTAGATGTCTTCTCGCAGAAGACTTTTCAGAAGACATAAAACAAATTAATCAAGAAATTTAAGTGAGAAATGAAAATTTAAGCGAGAAATTAAGCAGAAAATTAAAATTAGGGAAACTTAAATTTTAAATGAAAATTGTAATTTTAAATCTCATGAAATTTAAAAAGTATATCCTATAATCTAAGAAGACAAATTAAATCACATGACTTGTTATTCTTAAAGTTACTTAACACTTTTGAAAGTTAAAAACATATCTCGAAGTTATTTAACATCATTGACAATACAACTTTTACAAAAATGAACATAGAAGACTTCCACATAAGTCTTCTGAGAGAAAACTTCTTATGATCTCAAGTCTTCTCTCATTAACTAGAAACATTAATAAACATGAATGTTTGTAACCTCGTAATTATCACCAATGAAGTTATGAATTTCATTCAGGAACTCCAATATTCACTAATATACATGAACTAATAAGAAAATATTGAAAAATCTTTTGAATTTTTGAGAAAATGTAAGTTTATTAAATATTAACATAGAAGACTTCTGTGGAAGTCTTCCTTGAAGTCTACCTGAATTAAAATTCTATGGAAGTCTTTCATTTATGTCAGTTTTGTAATTGCAAATTTACAAAGGAAAACTTCCAGAGAAGCAAACTTCTTAGAAAGTCTTCCTTTAAAAATATTGTCTTACTTTAATATTTCAAAATTTACAAAAAATCGGATAAATAGGTTAGTTTTGTAATTGACCAATATTGTGTTAGAAATTTGATTTTCTACAGAAGATTTCCATGAAAATCTTCTACAGAAGACTTCTGGGAAAGTTTTCTCAACTGTTATATGACGTCTACTCATGGTCGGTAGAAATCTGCGTAGATTACTTTTTCAGTTGACCATATTTGAATTTTTCCGAGAAGACTTCCGTTGAAGTCTTCTCACAGAATGACCAGAATCTCAGAATAAAAATTGAGAAAACATTTTCTGAAAATTTTCTAATTCAAATTAAATGTTTTACTTTTAATTGTCAATCACAAAACTAACCTACGCAGACTTTTACTAACAGTGAGGACTTCATGTAATAGTTGAGAATTGGAAGTCTTCTATAGAAAGTCAATTTAACACAATGCAGTTGCAAAACTAACTTATTTATCCGAGAAGACTTTAAGGGAAGTATTTTGATTTTTTTTGTTAACAAAGAAAAGTTGGAAGACTTCTAGACCAGAAAATCAACTGTAGAACTAACATATGTATTGACCAAGAAGACTTCCGTAGGAAGTTTTCTCCGCGAAATAGATCTGAAAAAAAAATCAAAGATCATTCTTAGATCCAGTGAGGTTCATGTTTAGTTTCTTCAAGCACACATAGCTTCTTAATAAAAGTTACTCACTTGTTCTTGATCAAGTAGCATGAACTTGAGTAACTCTAATAAGCTTATAAATTTTGAAATCAAAAAGTTGAGATTTTGGGATGAAACACGAGAGGAAATGAAAGAGAAATGGTTTGTGTATGTATGAAATATGAATATGTAGATGTTGATTTTAGGTGCATTTAGAGCTTGAAATCGGTTATTCATGATGATTTGTGTATTGAAGACAGTGACAATGTTGTAAATAAAAGAGGAAGAAGAGACTGATTGAGTTAAAGAAGAAATTTTGAAAAAAGAAATAATGGCATTTTCATGAATAGTTCGAACTTCTGAGATGAATAGAGCAACTGAAGTTTTCAAAAAAAATCATAGATTACTTTTGTGTTTAACTTTTTATTTTGGGTCATATTTATAAAAACCCTCTTAAAAATTTGGTTGATTATATTTTTTTAACACTTTTTGAAACCCAAAACATATACTAGAGATATTTACATAGATTACTTTTTCAAACCCAAAACATATACTATAGATATATACATTTGATTAAATTACTCAAATAAAAGAATCATCATAAGTCATTAGTTTGAAACCTACCATTTAAATTACCATCGGAAGATAAATGCCTTCATGAAAAAAACCCCTTTTCTCTCTCTCATGTGATAAATGGGCGATTAGGGTTCCGTCGATTACCCGCTGTCGGTTGGCCTCACGCTGACTAACGAGAATACTCTCCCCTTTGTTTTGTTCTTTCTTTTCTTTTGTGATTGCGGATATTACAATATCTCCCCAGATCCGATTTCGTTTGATCCGTCAGGTAGTGGAGAAACTCAGATCCCAAATCGGTTCGAGCTTAGTATCAACAACGATTTGGGGGGGGGGGAGACTCACCTTTCATCAGTTCCAGCTTTGATTCCAGCAGCGTCTGTCCCCTCCTATGCGGCGAGGTTCAAGGCTTCTCTCAGAACTTTGAGGAAAATCTCAGAACCATCCTTTTTGGAAGATGGAACACCATTTGTTCAAGCTCCACCCAATGTACTCCTTGAGACATCAGAACTCTGGAAGGGCCATATCGTGGCCCATTTCCACGGAAGGATGCCGCCGGCAGGAAAGATTATCGCAGACTTGAATCCGGTGTGGGGAAAATTTGGGAATATCACGGTTCGTAGAGTCTCGGCTACTTGTTGTTTGATCTATGTTCCTTCAGTTCATACTAGAGAGTGGGTTCTTTAGGTGGGGTATTGGCAAGCAGACAGATGTGCGTTTTCGGTGTTTCCTTGGTCAGCAGATGGAAACCTGGCTGCACAAGAGCTTCTATTTGCACCAACGTAGGCGGTGCTTAAGAATGTGCCTCCGCAGCTCTATTCTCTTGACGGTAATAGTGTGATGGCAAGTGCCATAGGTGAGCCCTTACATATGGAGAAATTCCGTCTTGACCCGTATCACTTTGGAGATACGAAGGTTAAGGTGGAGATTGACCTTTCTCATCCCCCGCCTGAGGTGGTTGAAGTCAGAGACTCTCCGAGCAACTCGGTTAGAATTAAGATTGATTATCCAAGCCTTCCTCCTAAGTGTATCAATTGTGGGAAGTTTGGACACTTAATGAATATGTGTCATAAGTCGTTGGTGAAGAGGGTGAAGTCTCATAATCAGGAAACAGTGATCAGTGTGGTGAAAGCAGCAGAAGAGATCTCTCTTGTTGGAGTCCCTACTGAGAGCACGAAGGAGGAGAAGGTTGAGGAGTTCAAAAAGAAGAAGGAAAAGTCGAGATCAAGGTCTCACAGGAGGTCGAGGTCAAGAGCTAAGGAGTTGGAGGATTCTTGTGTTAAGGAGGTTCGTGAAGATAAGAGGTAAGGAAAGAAACAAACCCAGCTTGAGCAAGAAGAGGTTGATGAGGAGGATAATTCTGTTTGGTTTACTAAAAACTCAAGAGCCCAATGAAGAGCCATTCGACAAGAAGAGTTGTGGAAGGACTATGGAGGGTCAGATAAGATTGGAAGTTCATAATCGAAGTTTCTTATTCGAGGAAGCTCCTCGAGTAGGAAGTCTGGTTTCTGAGTCGGTTCTTTATAAAAAAATATTGTATATCTGAAGATGTTCAGTTGGAATATTAGAGGTTTGAACGGAGATGGTCGGATAAGAATGGTTGGGAATTGTTACAGAGTATGGTTTCTTCAGTTGGGGCGTTGTTGGAAACACATGTTCAGGAAGAAAATTTCAGTAGGGTCTTAGGAGTTATGGCTCCGGGTTGGAGGTTCGATAGTAATTACTCTCAAGCAGTAGGAGGAATAATTTGGCTGCTGTGGAGTCTGGATATCTCGGTGGTGGTATATTTGAAGACGGATCAATTAATGTTGTGTGGGGTGTTGGATCCAGATACGGGTACTGCCTGCACGGTGGCTTTTGTGTATGCGCATAATACTGAAGTGGAAAAGAGAAGATTGTGGAGTGATTTAGCTGCAATAGCTAACACTCCCCTCGTCTCATCTCCCCCTTTGGTTGTGATAGGAGATTTTAATCAAATTCTTAAGGCGGAAGAACATTTTTCTTTACAGCCGTATGACTTCCCGGTGCGGGGTATTTCTGAGGTTCAGGAGTTCGTATCTAATAGTCTACTGGAGGATATGGAATTCAGGGGTATGTTCTTCTCTTGGTAGAATAAGAGACCAGAGGATCCCATTGTGAGGAAACTGGATAGGGTTATTTGTAACAATAAGAGGAGGGAGAGTTATTCGGAAGCTGTAACAGTGTTTGAGCCTCCGGGAGATTCTGATCATTCTCCGACTGTGATTAGTTTTTCTTCGTTGCCGGCACTTCGAAAATGTAGCTTCAAATACTTCTCCTTCATATCTACTCATCTGAAGTTCATAGAAGAAATGTTGAGAACGTGGCAGGAAGAAATCCCAGTCAGTTCAAAAATGTTTTCCTTGGGACAACGGTTAAAGAAGGTAAAAGCTGTGTGCAGAAGGTTAAACAGAGAAGGGTTTGGAAATATTCAGCAAAAATCACAAGACTCATTGAATGAATTGAAAGTTATTCAAGAGCAGTTGTTATCCTCGCCAATGGATTCTTTGTTCAGACAAGAGTTTGTGGCTAGGAAAAAGTGGCAGTTCTTTGAATCATCGCAAGAGATATTCTTCAACAGGAAAGCCCGTGTTTGATGGTTATCGTGTGGAGATGCTAATACCAAATTTTTCTATAAGGTGGTTTTAGCACATCAGCTGAGGAACTCAATTCGGTGCTTGAGGGATGCAGATGGAAATTTGATCTTTAATCAGAATCAGCTTAAGGATATGGCGGTGGCGTATTTCTTGACTCTTTTGGGGTCAGAAGAGTCTGGCCTGGTCAGACTGTCTGAAGCAGAGATGAGATCTATGATCCAGTATAGATGTCCTCCAGAGATAGCAGATATTCTTAAGTTGGTTCCCACGGAGGAGGAGATCAGGGGAACTCTTAAAGCGATGCCCAAGAATAAGGTGCCTGGGCCTGATAGGTTCGCTGCGGAGTTTTTTTGGGAAGCTTGGGAGGTTGTTGGTTCTGATGCAGTGGGTGCAATTAAAGAATTTTTTTGAGGCCGGAAGGATGCTGAAGCAGCTTAATGTAACAGCTATAGCATTGATTCCTAAGGTGATTGGAGCAGATCAGCTATCAGCCTTTAGACCAATGTCTTTGTGCTCCACTATCTACAAGGTTATAGCCAGACTTTTGAAGAAGAAACTTAAACTATGCATTTCAGAAGTGGTCCAGAGAAATCAGGTTGGTTTTGTTGAGGACCGTTTGTTGTGTGAGAATGTTTTTCTGGCTGATATTGCGTGAAACACACACCAATTAACCTAATGTGCACACAACCACAAACAAATGGTATGTCGATGTATCACTTAAGGATCGAATCCACAGAGACCAAAATCTACACTTTATTTCTATAGGATCAAATTCAAGGTAAAACAATTAAGTGTTGTGAAAAACAAATCTTGAGTAACAAGTAACAATAGGATTTAACAATCAGGATATAAGGATGCTAACCTAGGGTATCTCATTGGGTGTTGACCATACTGAACCAAACAATTATTCAAGCTTTTTAAGAACAGCCTAGAACTTAGATTTCTAACTAGAGCACCATGCTTTCGCAGGCGTGCTCCTTTCGCGGAAGAGCAATGACATACTATGATCTCGCGTGTATCACGGCTCAACAGCAAACAGTAAGCACATACCTAAAATGCTCACATCACACCCTGATACCTACTTTCGCTGATCAGGGATACGATGCTTGCTCTCAACAGATCTAGCAATCTAATTCAGGATTAATGATAAAAGCTTAAACTTGGAATCAAATACTAAGTGATCAGATCAGTATAGGCATTAAGGACATAGGAGAGCAAAGGCGAAAATGATACTTCTGTATGTTCAGTTCATTGGATCAACACCCTAGAACCCTAGGCTACCAAATCAACTACTCAACCATAACACAAGAAAACACACAAATCAATACTGAATAATGCATCAAATAAATCGAGTATCAAGAGGGTTCATGGATTTATTCTCTAGAAAACCAAGAGGAGCAAGCCTTGACCCTTAAAAAATAGCTAGAACAAATCTTCAACAAGAACTCTCAAAACTTGTAAAAACTAATGTGTTTCTGTCTCTGGTCGAAAAAGTGAGTGAGAAGGTGGCACCCAGAGTCCTCTTAGTAGGTTAAATAAACTTCTGCTAGGGCAGACATAAACTATCCCGAAATAGATCATGGCTCATTAAAAACGCGGGAGCAAGGTGGATGTCGCTCCGCGACGCGTGTGCCTACCCATGATGCTGCTCCGCGCAACAAAACACTCTCTTTTTGCACCTTTTCATTCATGCATACCTCTAGTGCGATCCAGCACATTCTCCACCTTAAATGACTCAAAACACACTAAGAGAACTCCAGGGTATCATTTAGATGATATCAAAAATACACTAGAATGGTGTCAAAAACACAACATATCAATTCCCCCTGACTTAGATCCTTTTTTGTCCTCAAACAATGTCAAGTTTCTACATTAGTGGGAAATGTTTGAAAGTGTGGGGACTCTCTCATTTCAGCAACCAAACTTTAACCAAAAATCTCTGAACCATACAAGCAGACATATTAGGACGACACACTCTTACCAGAACCCCCACTGACTGCTCTTCAAATCAGCTCCATACTCTATATATCCAACCTGCAAAAGTCATACTTTCCAGACAAAAACTCCTTATATTCATTTAAGATCAGTGTGAGCTTCTTGTCATGGGCATTACTCAGGGTAGACAGTATAGGTGTGAGACAGGCTTTTCAAGTGTTTAAATGGAGCTAACAAGTGTTTAGGGTTTTACCATGTCTTTGCAGAGGATGCAGGATATTACACAAAATTGCCAGAGAGGACGGATCCATTGATTTCCACAACCCTCACTCGTTTTCTCTGCAGAGCAATCGCTCATCACTCCTCTTTTCTTTAAAATGTAGCTCTCTTCTATTCAGATCACCTTTCTTACACACTGTTTCATTTCCACTTTAGCTCTTCTTTTCTGATCTACCAAGGACACTGTTTGGGTTCTTCTCCTTCTCATCATCATTAAGAACTCTTGTGACATAATAACACTGATTTTTTTATTTTTTATTTTTTTTAATACTCAATAATGTGATGAGTTCAGATGATGATTACGAGAAGGAGGTAATTACATGTAGTGTGCCCCTGGTGGTTCTGATTTAGCCCTTCTTTCACCCTTTTGACTTTTCTGCTCTGATCAACCTACTAACTTGCTCTCTTCTGGTTGGATCATGTACCACCTTACTCTGAAGCGTAGTCTGTGAGCAAAACGAGTGAGAGCAGTGTTGATCCTTTCCTCTCCGACCCTTTTGCACATATCTGCACATATGGAACTTAAAAACAGAATGCATGAGGGTGAAACGAAGGATTCAAGGTTCAAGGTGGGAACTAGCTAAAGATGAGCTAGCCACTCAGGATCAACAAGATGGATAGAAAGGATTAAGATGTCCTGAGTGTAATCTCGTTTCCCTAATCTAATGCCCATAACAAGAAGAATTAAGTCAAAATTAGGTTCAAGTTAGGTGGAGTTTGAGTCTTTCCAGAATAACCTATATAGGCAGAAATCTTCTGGAGAGCAAGGTGAGATAAAGTCAGGGGGTATTCCAGGTCCAAGTGAACGTCTTTCATCACTGCTAAGGTCACTGAATAAGATACTTAAAGCAAGAGGTGGTTAGATAACATCATAAGATAAGGTCCTGATCCCCACATAAGTTGGACTGACTCGATAAACGGAAGCAAACAAACAAAGTTCTGTCTCGATAAACATAAACAAGTGCAAATAGTCTAGACACACGCAGGTGCCTCCCCCAGACTTACTTCACATCGTCTCCGGTGTGAAAATAAATCCAGAGTCAGCCAAATTATACAAAGACAGTAGCGGATGGTACAGAGAAAGAGATATGATAAGGTGGGTGATACTCATTCGGTGTCCTCGCACCATGAAATCAATGAAAAACAAAAGCAAAAGTAAAAGAAAGAAAAAGTCTAAGAATAATCTAAACTCACCGGTGGGTTGCCTCCCACCAAGCGCTTGGTTAAAGTCATTAGCTTGACTTTGGTTGCCTCGGTTAGGCAATGGATGGATCACTTAGAGGAATTTCTTCCCCTTAAGTGATGACTGTGTCAAAGAGGTAAGGCTTTAGACGTTTTCCATTCACGACGAACTCTGCTTCTTTCGTGTCCAGCAACACGATGGCTCCATAGGGTCGTACCTCTATTATTGTGAATGGTCCAGACCACCTTGATCTCAGCTTACCAGGAAACAACCTCAACCTTGAGTTAAAGAG